CGCCCCGGCGCCGCGACGGCCGAGGGCCGCCATAGAGACGCGGCGCGGCCAGAGGGGACGCGCGCCGGAGGGCCGCTCTAGGCGGCGGGGCGGCCGCGCTCTCTACTGCTCCGGCCCGGCCTGGGAGCCGCGGGGTCGCGGAGCCTCCGGCCGCTTTCGGGGTTCAGGGGTCCTCCAGGGAGAGCCCGGCACGGCCTTCCGGATCCCTGCAGCCATGTCACGTCCACCCGCTGGGGACGTGTCGTCTAAGTGCGGCCACATTCAGTGACAGCTGTTTCCAAACACGGGTGTCCTGGCGGCGCAGTGGGTAAAGCAGTGGGCCGCTAAGCAGAAGGTCCGCCCTGGACCCACCTCTGGCTGGGGAGACATAGAGCACTCGTCCTCCTATAAAGGGAAGTAGGACACCCTGGGGGATCGCCTTGACAGCAAGGGGTACCTGGTGGTGTCGTGGTTCTGAAGGTTGGCAGTTCGAACCTACCAGCCCCTTGGTGGAAGATAGGGCAGTTGGCGTCCCTAAGACCACAGCCTTGGAAACTCTGTAGGAAGTTCTGCTTAGTCTAAAGGATCGCTGTGGAGTCCACTTAACAGAACATTATGTCGAAGAAGAATGAAGAGTGTGTGCCCTGTCTCCATACCTTTGCAACCTGTACGCAGAACAGATCATCCGGGAGGCTGGGCTCTATGAGGAGAAATGTGGGGTCAGGATTGGTGGAAGATCTATCAACAATCTGCGTTATGCAGATGACACAAACCTGCTTGCTGAAACTGAGGAGGACCTGATGTGCTTGCTGCAGAGAGTCAAGGACTGCAGCCTTCAGTATGGATTGAGGCTCAATGTCAAGAAGACAAAGATTCTCACCACTGGACCAATTGGCAGCATCAGGATGGATGGTGAAGAGACTGAGTTTGTTCACAGCTTTAGTTTGCTTGGCTCCACAGTCAACACTCTTGGCACCAGCAGCCAGGAAATTAAAAGACATATTGCGATGGGAAAGTCTGCTGTTAGGGACCTCTCTAAAGTACTGAAGAGCAACGGTGTCTCTCTGGAGACTAAGGTACGTCTGACATAGGCCATGGTCTTTGCTATCACTTGTTATGCATCAGAGAGTTGGACAATGACTAAGGAGGATAGAAGGAGAATTGATGCCTTTGCGCTTTGGTGTTGGAGAAGAGTATTGACAGTACCATGGACTGCTAGAACAATCAGATTCATCCTGGAGAGGGTTAAACCGGGCTACTCCTTGGAGGCAAGGATTCTGAGGCTTCATCTGACATACTTTGGTCATGTTGTAAAGAGAGAGTGATCCTTGGAGAAGGACATCATGCTTGGAAGGGTGGAGGGCAGGCCCAGGAGGGGAAGGCCCTCTAGGAGATGGATTGATTTGATGGCTGGGGTGATCGGGATGAATGTGTCAGAGACAATAAGATTGGCACAGGACAGAACAGAGTTTAGGACTCTTGTACATAGGGTCGCAATGAGTCGCAAGCGACTGGATGGCACATAACAACTACAATCATAAACAGCTAAATTGCATTGGGAAACTCAGCTGTCAGAGACCTCTCCAAAGTACTGAACAACAATGATGTCTGTCTGGAGACCAAGGCGCACCTGATAGAGACCATGGTCTTTGTCATTACTTGCTATACATCAGAAAGCTGGATGATGACTAGAGATGGTAGAAAATTGATGCCTTTGAACTGCGGCACTGGAGAAGAGTGTTGAATATACCGTGGACTGCTAGGAGAACAAACAGGTTTGTCCTGGAGTGGGTGAAACCGGACTGCTCCTTGGAGGCAAAGATTCTAAAGCTTCGTCTGACATACTTCGGGATGGTGCAAGGAGGGACCAGTCCTTGGAGAGGGACAGTACAAGAGAGGAAGACCCTCGATGAAATGGAGCAATTCAGTGATTGGGGTAATGGGAGTAGGTGTGTCAGAGAAGGTGCGATTGGCACAGGATAGAGCAGGGTTTAGGGCTCTTGTACATAGAATCACTATGAGTTGTAAGCGACTTGATGGCATATAACAACAAGTGCTGTTTAAACACATACCACACGAGGATGATTTTAACAAACTCATGCTCCCATAGCTTAGGAGGCTGGACATCCAGCTCAGGAGGCCAGCTGTAGGGGAAGGTTTGCTTTCCCCATTGGCTCTGGGGAAGGTCTGTGTCACAATCTTTCCCTGGGTCCAAAGGACACACTCCACTCCATGCCCTTCTTCCTTATTGATAGGAGGTCCCTCTGAAATATATGGAAAAAATAAATTGTCAATTATTTCATCTTACTTGAATCCATAATCAACAACCTTGGTACCAGCAGTCAGGAACTCTTAAGACATGTTGCGCTGGGAAATTCTGCAGTCAGGGCCCTCTCCACATGCTGAACAGCAAGGATGCCACTCTAAAGACTAAGATGTGCCCAATCCAAGCCCAGATCTTTTCCAGTTTTTTGCTATGCATCTGAAAGTTGGACAGTGAACAAAAATGACAGAAGAATTAATGCCTTTGAGTTGTAGTGCTGGAAAAGAGTACTAAATATTTTGTGGACTGTTAAAAGAAAAAAAAACCAAATATGTCCTGGAGAGGGTGTAGCCAAAATACTTCTTAGATGCAAGGATGGTGAAGCTTCCTCTCTCATGCTTTGGGAAAAGGGGCCAGACTTTAGAAAAGAACATCTTGCACAAAAAAGTGGAAGGTCAGTGAAGGATGCAATGAGATGGGTTGACATAGTGCCTATAACAATAGACTATATTAGAGATGATGAGGATAGCACAGGGTAGGGCCAGGTCCAGATCTACTGTCCATAGGGTTGATAGGAGTCTCAGTCTACTTGACAGCAAATAACAACAACATATTACAAAAGAGATTGACTCAAGATAAAATCTAATCCTGTAGATGTCATGTGGCCTCAATAGCATCATAGAGAAGAAGATGTACAACACCCAGGATCATTACATCAGATCATAGAAGGGAAGATAATTCCATACTAGTCAGAATCAGTTCAGACAGAGGTAGCCTGGCTCAAGCCAGAATATTTTCAATTGCTTCATGTGCATGTAAAAGTTGGTTAATGAATAAGGACAACCAACAAATTGGTTCCTTTCAATTTTGCTGTTGGTGAATAATATTGAATATCCCAGGGACAACAAATCTGTCTTGGACAAAGTGCTCCTTAAAGGTAAGGATGGTGAAAGTTCATCTCACATACTTTTGAGTATGTGGTCCTTAGAAAACACACACACACACACACACACACACACACACACACACACACCTTGCCAGGAGACTGACACAATGACCACAGCAACGGGCTTGAGGATTTAGGGATTGCGAGGAGGGTGAAGAATAGGACAAGGCTTCAATCTATTGGTCTCAGCGTTGCTGTGAGTCTCAGTGGATTTGAAAGTACCTGATAGCAACACAAATTTGATACCTAGTCTAGGAGGTCACCAACTGTTCAAGGGACCTTTGTTATGTGAAATTCAGCCTGATTTAAAAAATCCCCGGGGTTGGGAGGGGAGAAAAGTGCAACAATGAATGAATGGAAATCCAAAGTCTCTGTAAATTTTCATTGAAATTAATAATGAATCTAAAAAAAGAATATTAAAAAAATAAATAAGAATTCCCTTGCACAGCCTTCCTCTCCATCTCAGGCCTCCACATTTCTCTTTCTTGTGTCCTCGGTTTGGTTGGTTCCTGACTGTCTACAAGGTCCCTGAATGCCAACACCCACACCCCACTGGCGCTTCCTCTTGGCACGTCCCTCACCCTCCTGTCCCTCCTATATAGCTGCCTTCCCTTGCTCTCTGGGCCTCAGGGGCCCCTCCCCACTCTTCTGCCTGCCTGGAGACACTCAAGGCGACCATGGCAGCAGCTTCTGGGCAAACCTCCCAGGAGCCACACACACCAGGCCCTCCTGCAGCGGCAGCTGCGCTCTGCTCCCACCCTTCCCCTCCAGAGGCTGGAGGCTCCACCTAGTGCCAACCCCACTGACTCTTTCCTTTGCATTTTCTTGCTGCATCATGCACTACAGGTCAGGCCAACTGGAGCTTGAGTCATAACTAGTCTTATGTGAGATATGACCTTGGGCTGATCAACAGCCCAGCTTTGAATATGATTGTGCAAACAAGACCAGTGATTAGTCCCTCTCTTGGATTCCTTTTCCCATTTGTTTTCACTTTTGTATTTATGTGATTTTTCTTTTTATGATTTTCCATTAATTTTATGTTACTATAGACATCATGCTTCGAAAGGTGGAGGGCCAGCAAAAGAGAGGAAGACCCTCAACCACATGGATTGAGAAAGTGACTGTGGCAATGGGCATAAGGGTGTCAGAGATTGTGAGGATGGCACAGGATAGGACAGGGTTCAGATTTATTGTTTATATGGTCGCTATGAGTTGTGCTTGACTCAAAGGTGCTTAACAACAAATACGACATTCATAAAATTACTTCCTGTATCTTATCTATTTCTGAGGGTCCCTTGTAAAGATTTATTCTATAAACTGTATCTCAGATCCCTTGGCACACACTATCTAATCTTGCATTATCTTTAGTGAAAAAGATCCTCTGGGATTAGATTAAATGCCCTTCTAAGGCCAGACCTCTAGAGTAGATACCCTTTTGAGGCCAGGAATCAGAGATGCTGTCCTTAGCCTGTGTGTCCGGGTTAGCCTATGAGATGCTGTTTGGAAAGACAACTTTTATAAATCCAACATGGATTTCAGACTCAAGCCAAGACTTTAGACTGCAGAAAGGGTTTCCGTCTGCCCTACTTCCACACACCACAAGTGCCTCTGATTTTAAACTCTCATACACAGTCTTTTTACATTGGAACCCATGATTGCAGCCATTGCATCAATCTATCTCATTCAGAGTCTTCCCCTCTTTCCCTAACCCTCTGTTTTACCAGCATGATGTCCTTCTCCAAGGACTAGTACCTCCTAATAACATGGTCAAGGTATAAGAAGACCAGGTCTCACCATCTGTGCTTCTAAAGAGAAATCTAGTTCTTCCAAGATACATTATTTTCTCAAAATCTTTGGCATATTCAAGATTCCTCAGCGACATGATTGAAAAGCATCAATTCCTCTTCAGTCTTTATTCATTGTTCATCTTTAATATGAATGTTGTTGTTTTTGTTGTTGTTAGGTGCCATCCAGTCAAGTACAACTCATAGCAACTCTATGAACAAAAAATCTGAACCCTGTTCTATCCTGCATCATCCTCACACTTCCTGACACATAAGAGATCATTGCAGCAGTCACTATGTCAGTCCACCGGGTTGAAGGTCTTCCTCTCCTTCGTCGACTCTCCACCCTTCCCAGCCTCATGTCCTTCTCCAAGGAATAGTACCACCTAGAAACATGCCTAAAGCATATGAGGCGCATATGATTGTTTACCCTCCATTGGGTTTCTAGGGCTTTAAATCACACAGGAGATTGTCTTTCCCCCCTGGATTAGCTGGCGGATTTGAACCCTAGAGAGGCAAGGCACTTGGGCTCGCAGCATAACTCTGTACAGATTATTCCACCAGATTTGCTGTTTTTGTTGGGTGCCATCGATCTGAGTTCGAGTCCTAGTGACCCTGTGAACAACAGACCTGAAGCCTGTCCTATCCTTTGCCATCGTCATCATCTCTGACACACTTGAGCCCATTGCAGCAGTTACTATCATTCCATCTCATTGAGGGTCTTCTCATTCCCTGACCCTCCACCTTTCCAAGCATGATGGCCCTCTCCAGGGAATAGCCTCTCCTGGCAACAAGCCCAATGTAATAGTCATGTTAAAATTTGAACCACACACTACATTGCTTCTATGTTCAAACCCAAAACCTGCACCAAACCCAAAACTCTCAGCCAAAGTTGAGCTCAGTAAATGTTGGTTTGTAAGACTAAGACTTTAGATTTCAAGGAGTAAGAAACAGCAAGAGGATGCACACCCATGTTTATTGCGGCTTTGTTCACAACAGCAAAGAGCTGGAAACAACCCATCAACAAACGAATGGATAGAGAAGCTGTGGTATATTCACACAATGGAATCCTGTGCAGCATGGAAAAACAAGGAACTCATGAAATATTATACAAAATGGGTACTCTGAAGGACATTATGCTGAGTGAAATATCTCAGTCACAAAAGGACAAATACGGCATAGGGCCATTGTTGTAAAACGGGACTGACATCAGGTTTGAGGGAAGACAGAGAAGGAAGGGAGGAATGATGTATACTGTATTGAAACAGATGAGGGGGAGAACTGTTTAGAAGGGATATATGATTGGGTATTATTGCATGACAGGAGTCCAGAATGAAGGCTGCCTAGTGGAGTGGACTTGGGGGGAGGGATTGCATAACAACGAAGGAGTTTTAGTTTTCAAGGGGAAGAGTGAATTAGGGGGGAGAGGGTGGGCAGGGAGAAAAGTGCAACAATGAATACTGGAAACCCCAAGTCTGTAAATTTTCATTAAAATAGGAAGGCAGGCAAGAAGGAAAGAAGGCAGGCAGGCAGGCAGGAAGAGACAGCACGAGGGAGCTCTCAGAGAGCACCCGGGGTGTTGGGGGTTGTGGTGGTGATGATGGTGGCGCCTGGGCTGCTCCGGACGCACCCTGTCCACCTGCGTTCTCCGCCCCACCTCCCGCGGCCTCGCCGGCGGCCCCGTGGACTACATTTCCCAGCATGCCGTGGGGCGGACCTGCCGGAAGGCCGTCTGCCCGCCCGTGGGGCATGATGGGGGATTTGGAGATTTCCATCATGGCGGCTTCCATTTCGGGCTACACCTTCAGCGCTGTGTGTTTCCACAGCGCCAACAGCAACGCGGATCACGTAGGTGCCGGGACCCCGCCGGGCCTGCCAGGGCGCCCCGGCCCGCCCGTCCTGGCTAAGACGCCGGGCGGCTTGCCCCCCGCCGCGGACCGGCCGGAGGAGCTGGTGCTCGGGCTGTCCCCGGCTCCTGCCGCCCGGGGCTCCCCATCCTCCGGCGGGGCCCCCTCGCTCGGCCGTCCGATGGCCGCTCTGCCACCCGACGGGCCCCGGGGCAGCTCCTCCGGCGCAGCCAAGCTGTCCGGCCAGGGCAGTCGGGAGGGGCCTGGGCGGGGAAAGTGGAGCGCCTGCCCCTCCCGGGGAGTCAGGGTCGTGACCTGCGAGGGCGCCGGGGGTCAGCAGCAGAGGGGCGCGTGCCCACGCGCGGGTGACCCAGGCGGTCGTGGAGTGTGGGCAGGAGGACGGTGCTGGTCACCGCTGTGACGTGTGGGGTGTGTGCCGGTGGGGGGCGGGGGCGCCGAGCCTGGACACCGGAGCGCCCGGGGTCAGGGTCTACTTGGCTTTGCTGCCGGTGACATGTTGGCCGCTGGCTGCTGCGCCAGGACCGCGGAACCAGGGGAAGGGGGAACCCCTGCTGCGGGTGAGCGGTGGGAAGGGCGCAGCCGGAGCCCGCGGGGTGCGGCGCCGCTCCGCTGCCCTGTCCCCAGCTTCCAGGTGTCACTGCCCTCTCCATGGACAAGAGTTGCCTTTTCTTTTAAATGGGGTTTTCATTTGCTTAGTGAGCTAGTAGGTTATTTTAAATGATGGAGGCAGCGAATGCTTGCAGTTCATCATGTGTATGTGTGTGTGTTCATTCCGAAGCAGTGATACGTTGCAGCAGAAGGTATTGGATTCAGGTTGATGTCAGCAATCTTGACTTCCATTAGTAAAAACCAATTTCGCCGAGAGGTGAACCCATTAGTAAATTGCATGGAGTTAAATTGTGGCACCTTTCATCTCTGCCATGTGGATGGCCGAAATTAATGAAGGAATACAAACAACATGAGCTTTTCCAGAATTGTCTCTCTCTGGACTCTTGCTTTCTGATACTTCACGCAGCCACTTAGTAATGTAATGCAGCTTCATCTATCCACTGAAGTATCAAATAGGGTTCTGCTCGTCGTCTTGCCCTCTTTAGTTCTGGTTTGTAAGGCAAGATTGTCATAAGAATAAACAACTACTTGTTGAAAAAAATGGATAGTTCCTGTACCCACTACAGTGAGACAGTTATGTTCCTTAGATTGTTATTAATGTAACTAAAAAGGTTTGTTAATACCTGCTTCATCTGTTAATACCCACTCAAATCGAGGCTTGATGCCAGACTTCATGGGGATTCTCCCCAATGCAGTGGCAACTGTGTTAGATGGCCAGGCAGCTTTATCTTATTCTCCCCACAACTGTAGTTGTGGAATACTAGAAAATGAGTTTACTTTTATACATTTTTAAAGTTGAGAAGCCAGGAATTTAAATTTTAAATGCTTTATTTGGTTCAGAAAAGAATTCCTTTAAATCTACCCTTTCTGTAAAGCTGGGGTTGGCAAGCCTTTCCTGTAAAGGGCCTATTTCAGGTGATAGTAATTATTTCAGGCTTGTGGCCCATGTATTACATGAACCACAGATCAGATAATTGAGGGACACTTTATTCCATTAGTGTGAGACTTGTTGGCATTGCAGTTTGAATTCCGTATAATTTTCACGTTTCATAAAATACTGTTTTTTTAAATTTAATTATTTTTGTGTGTGTACCATCAAATCGGATTTGACTGGTGCAGGAGGAGATTGTTCCTCCTTCTCCAGCAGAGCATCTGGTGGATTTGAACCGCGCACCTCTGTAATTGCAGTGTAGCTTCCTGCCACTAGGCCACCAGAGCTCCCTAATAAAATAATATTTTAAGAAATTTTTTTAACCATTACAAGTGTGAAAACATGTTTGTCTTGTAAGCCGTGTACTCATAGGTGCTGGCCTGGATTTGCCCCACACGCTGTAGTTTGCCCCTCCTGGCTATAAAGTTAACAGTGACTCAGATACTCTAGACCAGTAGATAATTAAACATTTCTTTTCTTCTTGACCTCTAAGTGTCTTGATGTCTCTGTTGGTTTAGATCATTTTCTAAACTGAGGATGTTGGTCTGGTTGCCAGATGCAATACAGGATGCCCAGTTACATTTCAGTTTCACATGAACAGTCAGCAGAGTTTTAGTATAAGTATAGCCCAAATAGTATCTTAAAAATGCTGACTGTTTATCTAAAAATAAAATATAAGGGAGTGATCCACATTATTATTTGGTACTTCTGGCAAACCTAGACAGTGAAATGCTAGGAATCTTTGATATTTTCTTGAGGTCTGAAGTTCTGAGGGGATTTTCCTTTTTTTTTTTTAATTTTAATATTTTTTCTAAACCTGTTGCAAAGTCAAGACTTTTATAGCAAGAAATAGCATTGAAAGACTTTCATAAAGCTATAGGAGCTTCTTTACTCACTGTTTTTCAATTTAATAGTCAGTGGGCACATCTTTGGGTGAAGGAATATTTTTTTTCTTTGAAATCGAATCTGCTTATTGCTCAAGCTTGAGAAATGTCCTGTATGTGATGATTTGGCATTTAAGGACATTGCCACTCCTCCAGTCCAACACAGAGCTATTGTATAAAGCATCTGTCCCTCCCCAGTTAGCTGGACAGATTCTCTGCGACCAGATGGGAATGTGTGTAAATTGGGAAGCTGTTTTAATTGATCTTTAGGATCCTAGAAGAGGACAAAATGGAAGGGCATTATTTCAACAGGTTTATTCAGCTTGTGCTTTTTGAGTACTTACTGTCATTAGAAATTCCGTGTTGTCAAGTCATTTCTAACTCTAGGTATCCTAAGCTGTAGCGGTTTAGAGAAGACTGTTTATCTTTGTTACTTAGAGCAGCTAGTGGGCTCTAGCCATGGATCTTTCTGTTAGTAGGGCAACAAGAGCTCTTCTCAAGGGAGGTGTTTGTCAGGGTTGTATCTTAATATCTACTCAGTCCATAAGCTTAGCACATCATCCAATAAACCAGATACTATGAAGAAGAATGTGGTGTCAGCACTGAAGGAAGGCTCATCAACAACCTGCTGTGTACAGATGACACTGTCTTGTTTATTGAAAGTGAAGAAGACTTGAAGCGCTTATGGATGGAGGCTGTATCCTGCTATATCGATTATACCTCAGTGTAGTGGTGTTGTGTACCTTTGAGTTGGAACTGATGCATAGCTGACCCTCCCATGGGTTTTCAGAGGCAGTAAATTGCACAGGATAAGATTGCCCATCCATCTCCTGCAGTTCAGCTCATGGATTTGAACTTTGTGCCTTACACTTAACATAAAACAAAAGTTGGTGAGCTCTAGTGGCCTAGTGGTAAGAAGCTGCAGTGCAATCCCCGAGGTGAGCAGTTTGAATCCACGAGATGCTCTGCAGAAGGAGGGACAATTTCCTCCAGTACCTGTCACATCCAGTTTGATGGCACGTGCGCGCACGCACACACACACACACACACACACACACACACACAAATTAAAAAACAATTAAAAGAAAACAAAATTCTTCACGACTGGGCCAGTAGACAGCATTAAGCTAGAAGGAGGAAAGACTGCAGTTGTCAAAAGTTAAATTTTGCTTGGATCTCTAGTCAATACCCTTGAAAACAGCAGTCACAGAATCAAAGGCTATATTACACTGGACACATCAGCTGCCAAGGACCTCTTTAAAGTGCTGAAGAGCAAGGAAATGAGTTTAAAGACTAAAGTATATCTGACCAAAACCCTTATGTAAAAGTTGGGCAATGAATAAGGAAGACTGAAGAAGAACTGATGCCTTTGAATTGTAGCATTAGCAGAGAATGTTGGATGCATTCTCAACCACCGGAAGAGCAGACACATCTGTTTTGGGAAAGGCGCAGCCAGTATGCTCCTTGGAGGCAAAGGTGGTTAAGACTTCAACTCTCATACTTTGGGCATATTCCCAAGAGGGGCCAGTCCTTGGACAAGAACATCATGCTTGAAAAGCAGAGACCCAGTGAAAGACAGGAAGACCTTCAATGCAGTGGGTTGGCACTGTACCTGGAACAGTGGGTTTGTGCATGTAGGAACGCTGAGCGTGGTGTGGAATCCAGCAGAGTTTGTTCTGTTGTCCATTTAAACATTTGAGTACATGTCAGACTAGCATGCCGCCCAGTCAGAGTCTTCTCACTGCCAACTGCAAGGCCGCGTGTCAAATGGCCTCTTGAGCACAGTGATTCAGCTCTCAGCTGCTAATTGAAACATCAGTGGTTTGAACCCCCCAGCTCTTCCACAGCAGAGAGATGTAGCAGTCTGCTTCTGAAAAGGTTATAACCCTGGAAATCTGGGGCAGTTCTGCTCTGTCCTGTAAGGACAGCATGAATTGGAATACATTTTACTGAAGTGCGTTTTAGTAACTAGATGTCAGGCTCTGCTCTTGGTGATGAAATTAAATCAGTCAGCAGCAGAGTCCCTGCTCTTGTGGAGCTTACATTTTAGTAGTGGATATACACTTACTTCTTTATAAATACGTAACGTGACCAGTAGATGGACACAACCCGTAGCTGACCCTGCACCGTGTTTTCAGAGGCAGCAAACTGCGCAGGAGATTCCAGTCTTTCTCCCACAGATTCAAACTGCATGTCTTTGGGTTGGCAGCATAGTTCCTTACTACTAGTCCTCCAGAGTAGTGATGGGACTAAGAACAAGAAAGCCTGTTTCTCTTGTGTTGATCAGGAAAGGCCTCTTTGATAAGGTAACCTCTGAATGAGGGAATGTGTAAGCCACATTGGGTATCCTGGAGAAAGCATTCCAGGACAGCTTATCAGCTCAGCTTCTCTAAAAGAGAATTAGAGTGTCTCTGCCCTATTACTGGCTGGGCTCAACTGAATGATAGTTTCTTAAACAGTGTGCTGAAATTCTTTTTTGTTAGCCGTTTCTTTCTGGTACAGTGACTCTGTGTACTCCTTCCATCTTCTTTTGATGCTTCCTGGGTCATTCAGCATTCTGCTCACAGCATTCTTTTTTTTATTTTTTTTAAATAATTTTAATGAGCATTTACAGAGAGTTTGGATTTCCATTCATTCATTGAACACAGCATTCTTAAGTATTGCAACTTGAGGCTTGAGTTTGTTCTTTAGTTCTTTCAGATTAAGAATTGCTGAGTGAGTTTGTCCCTTTTGATTTTTGAACACCAGCTCTTTGCACATTCATTTGCTTTGTCTTCCCATGCTGCCCTTTGAAATCTTCTGTTTAGCTCCTTCATGTCTCGATTTCTTCCCTTTGCATTGGCTTCTCGGCACTCTAGTACTATTCAGAGTCTCTTTATTATTATTATTAAATTTTATTACTTTTTAATGAACATTTACAGAGATTTTGGGTTTTCATTCATTCATTGTTGCACTGTTTTCTCCACCCTCCTCCCCAGTTTGTTCTTCTTCCCCCCCATGTCTGTTTTAATTGTCCAATTGCCACAGTGCTTGTCAAAGCCAGTTCTGATTAATCTCCTTTGTCAGTGTGTCCCTTGCCATTCCCTATCACTCCTCCCTGAGAGAGACTTCACCCTGATTCATAAGGAAAAGGGGATGGCGTATTCTCTTAGCTACTTCCTGCTGAAAAGGGATGCTGTGGGTTTCAGGGTGAAGGTCTTCTCTCACTACTCTAAAGGGCCCCTTTGGCAGTATGAAACACATAGACTATTATGGAGATTGATTTTGGAATTTAGATGCACTGTTATCCATTGTGCTTAGCCATACATGTTCATATCCTTGAAGATGTATCATGGAAGTGTAGCAGCCTAGAAGATACAAATTTAACTAACAAGTTAAAAGTGCATGAGTCAAAAATTGAAAAGCAATAATATTCCGAGTGGAGATTCTAATAGTGGCACAAATCAAGTTACAGAGGGAAGGTGGTTCTTACAATAAAAGGCCTATAGACTAGCACTTTGTCTATTATAGTGTAGAGGTTAGGAACCACAAGATGTAGAGGCTCAGCTATATCATTTATGGTTCTTAAGTCCTGGAGCAAATTCCATCTACCACTGGATTGTTCTCTTCTGACATCCATTTTGGTCTTTTCTTCTTCCTGTGTCTCTGTAATGACCTTATGCATTTTTCATGGATGATCTTCTTGATACCCTCCCACAGCTCATTTGGTCTTCACTCATTAGTATTTAAGGCCTCAAACCTGAACTTGAGATGGTCTTTAATGATCAAGAGCCTATAATGATGTAGGAGGAAGTTCAAGCTGCTCTGAAGGAATTGACAGCATACCAATTGACATATTTCAACAAACTGATGCTGCCCTGGACGTGCTTACCAGGTTGTGCTAAGAATCTGGAGGAAAATTGCCTGACCAACTGACTGGAAGAGATCCATTATTTGTTCCTACTCCAAAAAAATAAAATGTGACCCAACAGAGTATGGAAAATATCAAACAATATCATTAATATCCCATCCAAGCAAGATCTTGCTAGAAATTATCCAAAAATGAATGGAGCAGCACATCTACAGAGAACTGCCAGATGTGCAGGCTGGGTTTAAAAGGCTGTGGCCCTAGGGATATTATAGCCAATGTTAGATGGCTCTTAGCTGAAAGGAGAGAGTACTAGAGGAATGTCTATCTGTGTTTCATTGACTATGCAAAGGCATTTGACTGTGTGGATGACAACTAACTGTAGCTAACTAACTCTGAGAAAAATGGGAATCCCAGAACACTTGATTGTGTTTTTGTGAAATCTATACTTGGACCGGGAGGGAGTTGTCAGAACAAAGCAAGGAAACACTGCATGTTCAAAATCTAGAAAGGTGTACAGAAGGGTTGCATCGTATCTCCGTAACTTTTCATTCGATATGCAGAACCGATCATTCAGGAGGCTGGACTCTATGAGGAGAAATGTAACATCAAGATTGAAGACTCATCAACAACCTGTGTTATACAGATGTCACAACCTTTCTTGCCAAAACTGGAGTACCTAAGGCATATGCTGCAGAAGGTCAGGGACTGCAGCCTTCAATATGGATTGAAGCTCAACATCAAAAAACCAAAGATTCTTATCACTGGGCTGATAAGCAGCATCATGATAGATGGTGAAGAGATTGAGATTTTGTTAACAGCTTCATTTTGCTTTGCTCGACAGTCAACCCTCTTAGTACCAGCAGCCAGGAAATCAGAAGACAAATTGCATTGGGAAAATCTGGTGTCAGGGACCTCTCCAGAGTACTAAAGAGCAGTGATGTCAGTTTAGAGACTAAGGTGCACCTGATCCAGGCCATGGTTTTTGTAATTACTTGCAATGCATCAGAGAGCTTGACAATGACTAAAGATGACAGGAGCCTTTGAATTGTAGTGCTGAATAAGAGGCTTGAACATACCGTGGACTGCCAATAAAACAAATAGATTTGTCTTGTAGGCGGTGAAACTAAGTTTCTCCTTGGAGGCTAGGATTTTGAAGCTCCATCTCATATAATTTGGGTATGTTGCAAGGAGAGACCAGTCCTTGGAGAGGGACATCATGCTTGGAAGGGTGGAGGGACAACAGTACAGGAGAGGAAGACCCCAGATGAGATGAATTGACTCGGTGACTGGGGTAATAGAGGTAGGTGTGTCAGAGACAATGCAGTGTTCAGAGCTATAGTATATAGGATTGCTATGAGTCAGAAATCTACTCTGTGGCACACAACAACAACAACAAACAGTGTACTATAGGTTGAATAATCCTAAATTTATTATAATGTTCTGTATTTGCTTCCATTCCCAAGATCGCTGGCCCAACAGATAGGTAAATTATCAAACAGTATTATTCATATTGTATGCAAGCAAAATATTACTGAAGATCATCCAAAAATGGCTAGAACAGCACTTTGACAGAGAACTGCCAAAATCTCAGGCTGAGTTTAGAAGTGACTGTGGCACCAGGGATATCATTACTGATGATGTCAGATAGATCCTGGCTCAAAGCAGACAATACCGAAGAATTTCTATTTGTATTTTATTGATTGTGCAGGTAGTTTTGAGTGTGTGGCTCAAATATGGCTAACATTGAGAAGAATGGGAATCCCTGAACACTGAATTATGATCCTGTGAAATCTCTACCCTGTTACCTAAAGAGAGCAAGAGAGCAGTACGTGGTTTAAAATTGGGAAAGGTGTACATCAGGATTATATCCTTTCTCCCTCTTCAGTCTGTATATTGAGCAAATAATTTCTGAAGCTGGACTCTACTACGAGAAATGTGACATCAGGATCAAAGGAAAATTCATCAACAACCTGTATTATGCACATGACACAGTCTTGCTTGCTGGAAGTGAGGAGGGCTCATAGTGCTTGATCAAAGACTACAGCCTTCAATATGGATTACATCTCAGCATCAGGAATATTCTCACTGCTGGATTTATAGGTGACATTATGATAGATGGAGAAAAGATTGAAACTTTCAGCCACTTTATTTTATTTGAATCCACATTCAGTACACTTGGTACCGGCAGTCAGGAGGTAGGAAATGTATTGATAACATTGGGAGAGTCTGTAGTCAGGAATCTCTCCAGATTACTGAGGCGTCATTGATGTCAGTTTGAAGACTAAGGTGCATCTGATTCAGGTCATGGTCATTGCAGTCCTCTCTGACACATCTGGAAGTGGGACAGTGGGTAAGTATGGCAGAAGAGGAATCGATACCTTTGAATTGTGATGTTGAAGAGAGTCCTGCCAAAGAACAAACAGATGTGTCTTGGGAAAAGTGCAGCCAGAGTGCTGCTTGGAGGCGAAGATGACAGAGCTTCATCTCACATACCTTGGGCATGTTTTTAGGGAGCTGTTCCTTGGAAAGCAACATCATACTTGGAAAGAAAAAGACTCTCAACCGTATGGATTGATGCAGTGACTGCCGCAGTGGATGTCAGCATATGTCTGAAATAACGAAGACAGCACAGGATAGGACAGGGTTCAGATCTGTTGTTCATAGGATCACTATTGCCTTCAGTGACACCTACCAACAAGCATGTATCCTTTTAGGCAATCTAGTTAATAAATACTATGTGTAAATAACACATCCATTATTACCATTTAGTTGCAAATGATACAACCCTTAATCTGTAAGTCTCTTATACAGACTCTTTACTTTTACATGTATGTATGTGTTGTTATGTTGGTGAGTTATAGATGAAAATACAGTAGCCTCAAGTTGCTTTAGGGAGCTCTTGTGGCCTAGTGGTAAGAATCTGTACTGCAGTCCCAAAGGTACATAGTTCTAATTGACCAACTGCTCCAGTGAAGAAGGATGGGAGATCTCCCATGTGATTTACTGCCTCTGAAAACCTGCTGGAGGGTCAGCTATGGCTCAATTCCGAATCAGTGGCACACAGCAGAAAGTTGTTTTTCAGAATAGTAGTTTATATGACACACTTATTTGGGTTATTTTTAAAATTATGATAGTATTATAACATCCTTGTTATTATGTGCCATCAAGTCAGAACCAACTTGTAACTGACCCTCCATTGAGCTGTCAGAGGCAGTAAATTAATAGGGAGGAGATTGCCCATCTTTTTTTGTGGAGTAATTAGTAGATTTGAACGTTGTCTCTTTAAATGGACTACATAGCTCCTTCCTTAATCAGTAGGCCACCAGAGCACTATCATGTCCTTAATTACTCTTTAATTTCTGTAAAAATTATCTTTATTTTTAAGAGAGCTCTGGTGGCTAGTGGCAAGACCCTTCATTGCATTCCCAGAGGTATGTGGTTCAAATCTACCAGATGCTCTGCTGGAGGAAGGGCAGTCTCCTCCTGTACCAGTCAGATCCTATTTGATGGTACACAAGCAAAAGATAATAATTTTTTTTAAATTATCTTTATTTTTAGTCAGCAACATTTTTCTTTTCTTTTAGGAAGGGTTTTTGTTGGGAGAGGTCAGACAAGAGGAAACCTTCAGCATTAGTGACTCACAAATCAGCAACACAGAATTTCTGCAAGTAATTGGTAAGTAAGTTTATCATTGATCTTAAAATGACTGGGTCTTGCACATACACTGCTTATTCTGTTCTCTGGCTCTTCCCTTGTCTTTTCTTTTTCTTGTCATTTGATTGAAAGTTTGTACAGCAAATTGATTTTTCCCTTCACCAATTTGTGCACTTTACTACATTGATTCAATCCCCATATTGTAGCAGCACTCTTTATTCTTATCTTTAACCTAAAGGATTAAACGTTTACATTGGGAGGAAAAAGTGCTCCTAAAATTAGGATGCACATTACTTGCAGTAATAAATATCGCCACTCATTTTTATAAGTCAGTAGTTTCCAAATGTCCCATACTACCAAGCTGTTAAGTTTCGCTATTACATCATAACTATTTTCACCTGTTAACTTGCGTGAGTCTTCCTTCCTCTCTCAGTGATCACTTGCTCATTCATTGCTGTTGAGTCAGAACAAACTCATAGCTGACCCTTCAACAGTTTCCGAGGCTGTAAATCAATCACATGGAGAAACTCTACCTATCTTTCTGCTGAAGAGCTTCTGGTGCATTCAAACCACAGTCTTTGGGTTAATTTTGCAGTTCTCTATGGACAACATCATCTTTGAGAGCCTCAGGTCTGCCCAGTAGGCTAGCCACATCTCTTCCTCCCATGTGTGGGTGTGCTGTGCAGGTGCTTCTGGAAGGGGCCGGGCAAGGATGTGCGCACTGGGTTGCCCGTGATTGTTGCTGAACAGGAATAAAGAAAAGCTGCCAGTGACGAAACCAGCAGAGACTCTTGAGGGAGGGGTACTTGGGGACAGTGAGTGGTCAGTCACTCAGGACAGCCCAGAAGGATGCAGAGAGAAGTACACAGGGAGGCTGGCCTGCTTCTCTGCAGTTTGAAGCCAGGCTGTGTGGAGGGGAGTGGTGTGAAATAGCTGCAAGTTTAGGTGGTCCGGGCCAGACTATTTATTTCAAGGCTGTCCCGGTAACTTCCTAGTCTATGAATTTGCAGGGGGTGGGCAAAGATGAGGACTAGGGTGGGAGAAGAACTGAGGGGAAGTGATTAAACTCACATTCCAGCTCACAGCTGATTCTCCATTGGGTTTCTGAAGCTGAAGCAGAAAATCAAAGCATAAAACTCACCAAAATCGTCACTTGTTAAGTGTTTATGTGGACCTACTACAGTTCTTTCACTGAATTCTTTTGTTCAGCTTCCGAAAATCCTAAGATAGAGAATTTTATTTCATAGAACATCTGTATTTATTTGTTGTTTACACCTGGCTTTTCACAGTTAACTTGGTAGATCAGGGCAAAAAAATGCCAGACACAGTAAATCATAAAAGCCCATTACCTGATATGATAAAGACTCTCCCACCTCCCCCAAAATTCAGCATTTCTGATCACTATTCTGGTTTTTATTTTTAGAGGAATAGGACGGTAAAGTAGTTCAAATACGGCATAACACAATGTACTAATTGTTTTGATTTATAGACCTTCTGGTTCTTGGAGAAAATTCTCATCTCCATGGTTTTGTAGATACAAAGGAGTCTTATTTAGTACAAATTTCCAGTTAATACAGTACCATGACAACAGTCTTTAGCTTTATTTATTAGCTGTATTCAGTTCATTCATTGATAATGAGTTCTCATGGGTAAAGTTTCCTGGCATCATTATTATTTTAAATGTACTGTTGCCAGTGGAATGTGGGGGTTTTGTTGTTGTAGTTTTTGAAATGCATATTTGAAATTGTGAAACAGAACTCTGGAAAAACCTTTCTGTTAGTGGTGTAACAGAATGCGATGACCACGAGGTGAAGTGGCCCGAGAACTGTGCTCTAGGCCGCGTCAGTCAGTCGCGTGAAGTTTTCTGGTGTTGCTTGACTTCTTGCTCTGCGAGGGAAAGATGGGCTGTCTCCTACAATCCCAAAATGTGATTTCCAGCCTCCTCAAAACCTTCTGGAGGGTCAGCTGTGATGAGTGGGTTCTCATTCGGTGGCAGTGAGAGAATGAGTAGCAGTTGTTGGAAAGAGAAAGGCGAAGAACTGTCCAAGCTTTCTGCCTGGGGCAGGAGGAGATAAGATGCCACGCACAGCAGTCCATGGGGATGAGAGCGCGAGCTGTGGGGACTCTGGAAGTCCACGGACAGGCAGGAAAGGCGTGTTCTCTGCTGCTCCCAGCAGCACCTCAAAGCTAGTTAGTTCATCAGCTGTATCACAGTCAGGGACCCTCAGCAAGCCTCTTCCGTGGGGTGGTTGGCTCTGCTGGCAGTGCTGTGGAGGCTTCCTCACGGCATGTTGAGCCTGGTGATTGCATCCAGGCTGTTAACCAAGGAGCTGCTGGGGCCGGTGGATGGCGGAGTGTGGTACCGAGTGTGGATCCCATACCAGTGATCTTACTAAAGCACATACTCCTTCCTTTCAAGCGCAGATGAGGTTTTCTTTTCCTGAACCTCTGGGTGACGTTTTTGCTCCAAACGGCTCACATGCTAATTACTAACTGGAGCCTGTCATGTCATTTTTGGTGAGAAAAGAAGGCAGTTTTTCTAGGTGGGCTTTTCTTACTTGCCTCCCCATGTCAGCAGCTACAGCAAGACAAATTAGCCAGCTTCCCATGGTGCTGTTGTGTTTTGACAGCATTCCCATGAGGACAGAAGCTAATGGCCATGGCTGTGTCCTTCAGGCCTCAGCTTCATTCCCAAAGAGTTCCACTTGTAGCCTGGACACTGAGGCTGGGGCTTTTAAACATTGGACAGTGAGTCACAGTCCGGAGAATGCGGTGATTGGAAGTGTCTGGGTTTATAAAGCAGTTCAAAGAATGTGTTCCTTCTGATTGACCCCAGCAATCCTTCAAGGGTTATTAGGGTTGTATTGGACCCGCTGCACTGAGCATCTTTGAAGGGGAGCATACTGTGGGGGTTTCCCCTGCTTCCCCTTAATACACACTGGCCCAGGATGCTGAGCTTTTGGCTCCTGAGGGCAGGACACTTAAAGGCCGTCCTTTCACAAGTTTATGAAATGCTTCTAGTCAGTGGTTCTTGCTTGCTTTGACTAGGTAAGGGCACGTGGGCAGGGTGCTCCTGAGGGAATACTTTTGGGGTGTGCCCGTCACCCACAGACACATGGAAAGGCAGCTTCCTTTCTCCAGTTGACTATGTTCCTCAGTTTAAATATTTACAAGCTCCTATGGCAGCTGCTTCATACGTGTACAACACCTATTTTGGAGAGAACTTTTTATTGTCAGAGATGTTGGTTAAAGAAGAATCCTGAACTACTTTACAGTTAAGTGCTTGGCTGCTAACCAGAGAATCAGTAGTTCTGACCTCCCCTTACTCATGGGAGAAGGACGCTTCTGCCTGGCTGGGAAACCCTGTAGTTCCCCTTTGAGTCAGTGTCAGCTTGAGGGCAGTGGGTTTCATTTGGTTTGTGTCTTGCATGATTAACTGAGACGTGTTTCCGCTTTCTTATTACAGAAATCCATAATCATCAGCCGTGTTCAAAACTTTTTAGGTAAGCCACATCCTTCTTTGTCGCACTTAGACTGACTAAAAGATTGATTGATTGATTGATTGATTGATTGATTAATTGATTGATTAAGGGCTGGTGGATTGAGGCCTGGAGCTGGTCGTGGCTCAAGAAGTCATGCATTTGTCTGAGGGCCTCCACGTTTACTGATTTAGTGTGGGCCAACTTTGTGCAGTGCACGGGCTTAGCTTAGGAAACGTGGAGTGGACAACAGTATTAAATCGTGGCCTCAAGACATAGGACAAACTTTCACTCAAGTCACAATTTTTTTAAAAAAACAACTTAGGATAGAAGTGTTCTGTAACTGAATGGGAGCAACAGCAATTATGCTTGAAAAGACCATGGCCTGAGTCAGGTACCCCTTAGTCCTCAAACTGACAGCGTTGCTCCTCAATAATTTGGAGAGGTCACTATTCTTAGTAAAGTGGAGGGTTGGTGAGAGAGAGGAGACCTGAACCAGAAGGACTGATACAGACGGTGACTGCAGCGATGGGCTTGAGTATGTCAGAGATTGTGAGGACTGCACAAGACAGGACAGGGTTCGGAACTGTTGTTTATAGGTCGCTGTTAGTTGTGGTTGACTCCGGGGCACCTAGTTCGTTATTTAAATTGGCTAAATCCTTGTCTCTCTCAAGGATTCTTCAACCATGCAGAAGCAAGTTAATCAAGGATTACATAAAGACTAAATAAGCTAACGGGTGTTTTTAAGGAGGATGAGAATATTCAGAATTCAACTTTAAATGTTTAAGGAAAGTGAATGTAAACTTTGCTTTTGTTGGATAAGCTTTTGTGTACCTTGATTAAATGCTTCCAGTCGGTGGGTGGTTCTTGCTTGGTTTGAATAGGTAAGAGTGAGTCAGGGCCTACAGGCAGGGTGCTCCTGAGAGAAAGCTCTCGGGGTGTGCCGGTCAGCAGTGGACACACAGAGGTGCAGCTTCCTTTCTCCAGTTGACTGTGTTCTGAGACTGTTTAACATAATAGGTGCTTGTTCCATATTATGTCCAAGGGATAGAAAGGGAAAGGAGAGGGAGGAGAAAGATTCAGGAGAGAGAATGCAAACAACAGGAAGGGAACAGGAGCCAGAATCTCCCACACCCCAGACGTCTCCCCATACGCTGCCCTGGCATTTGCCTCTGTCTCAGTCCAAACCCTTGTGCTTCATGGCTGGTACAATGATTTAAATTCTGTTTCTTAGAACTCCCTGACCCTTGTTCTTGGCACCTTCCCACAGGTGGCCCCTGGGCTTCTTCCTGGAAGTCCCACCTGACAACAGTTAAGGCCCTTGACTATGCCTCCTTCCTTAGCATGGCTGTTCCTGCTGCATGGCCTTCCCTGCTGTGTGCTCCCTGCCCTAAGCACTGCAGGCCCAGCTGCCCACCTTTTACCCAGGAGCCCTTAGTGGCTGCTGTTGTACTCCCTTTATACACACACACACACACACATTGATGATGGATGCCACAGTGCTGTCTGTGAGTGAAACCTGAAGGGAGCCAAGTGGCCATCTCCTTTGGGTTCATGTAACTGAGGAAGGGGCAGGGAAGAAAGAGAATCGCAGAGCAAATGCTGCATCTGCTCTGTCCCTGCTGCATTGACAGAAGTGTGTAGTTTGGCCCTGACTGTCCAAAGGTTCTCTGGGCCTCCCCTGGCTTACCCTTCTGAGAAATTCCTTGAAATGCTGTCAGCAAAGAAGGATCAGAACAAGGATTTAATTAAATTAAAATCATAGACTTATGTTAGCATTTAGGAAGAAACCTTAGAAATTACCTGTTTGAAAAAAAAAAAAAAAGAAAAGAAATTACCTGTTTGCTCCAAAGTTGTTATTTGCAAAAATATAGAGGAGGCTCAATAAATAGGTCAGTTGACTTGCCCAAGGTTAAACAGTGAGAAGCAGAACTGGGGCTGGAGCTGGGGTCCCCTGACTCTGAAGTCAGTGTTCTGCCCCTCTACTCCCTGCTGACTCATAAGACCTCGGTTTGTCTGATGGGAGAAGAGGGATGGGGTGCTGTGCCTGAGACCCTGAGCAATGATAAGAGAAAGCCCCCCTCTTTATGCTTGACCTGCTCATCACTGGCCCTGGCCAGGTTGGTCTTTTTAACATGCAGGCTGCATGAGCATAGTGACTCAGGGTGGCCAGACTTGGAGTCCAGTCACAGAACCCCCCAGCTCTGTGGTTTGGGGCCAGTGACTTCTGGATCTTCATCTACAAAAATGGGTATAAAACTGAGCAACACTTCCCTCCTCACACTGAGGCTGCACTGAACTGAAGCAGCACGAGATGGCATGCAGTGTTCTTGAACATGTTAAACATTTGTTAAATGTCTATTTCATTTTTCTTTTCTCACTGCATTATTTTTTTATAAGTAATTAATACTTAGAAACAAAATATGTCACAGTCTTTAGAAAGCATATTTAGTTATCAGCACCTTCCACACGTGTACATTACTTTGAATGTAGTGATCTTGGGTATTCTTTGACGAAGATTCCTCATTTTGCTAAAGCCTTCAGATTGGGTTTTCTCTTAGACCTATTAAAGACATCCAATTACATGCTTATGATCCGTTTTTAGAGTTAGACGCCTCATTGATATATGTACCTAATTATTTCCATGTTATACGACTATATGATCCTAATTTGATCTAAAATACTTCTCAAAATATAGTTTTTATGACTACGCAAGCAAAGTTAATGAAGAAAGTGTGGACAGGATTCTTAAGGACCGCAGAAAGGTAAGTCCTGTTTATCGACTGGCTTCATTCAAGAAACCTTTATCTTATTAACCTAATAAAGACGAAAAAGGCTTGCAGTTTGAAACATTGAGATTTGATGTGAAGATATAAGGATTCTGTTAATTTAAATAGACTTGCAAGGTAAGTTTTGTACATGAAACAATGTCTGTAATCTATGAATAGGGGGAAAAGGGGATATTTGTAGTATAATTCCATTTACATAGAAATCAGAAGAAACAAACTCCATTCAGAAAATTAACAATGATTGAATCTAGTTTCTACTTTGAATTTTAAAAATGTTTGCAAATATTTAATATATATTCAATATTTATAATTGAGAAAAATATCTAAAAATGTGTATTGCAATAATAAATGGAATGAACTAAAGTCTTATGCTACAGAAGTGCCTGATAGTCTTATTTATAATGTACTCTGCTGTGCCATGTGTGGGATAGTAATTTGAGAAAAATTGTTGTTATTATGTGCCATTGAGTTGACTGCAGCTCACAGCGACCCTGTGAGCAACAGCTGTGAACCCTGTCCTGTCCTGTGCCATCCTCATCACCTCTGACACACTTCAACCCATTGCTGCAGTCACTGTGTCAGTGCTTCTGGTTGAGAGTCTTCTTCTCTTTCACCAACCTTCCACCTTTCCAAGCAGGATGTCCTTCTCCAAGGACTAGCCTCCTAGCAACATGCCCAAAGTACATGAGCTGAAACGTCACCATCCTTGCCTGCAGGGAGCACGCTGGCTGCACCTTCTTCAAGACCTATCTATGTGTGCTTTTGGCAATCTGTGGGATAGTCAGTCCTCTTCTCCAACACCACAGCTCAAAGGCCTCAATTCTTCTATCATTCTTATTCATTAATAGATGAAACTACTGAGATGAAAATACCAATGGAAGTTTTCAACTTGTCAAGCAGAAAAATGCATGCTTTAAGAGGATTTTAAAAATGTAAAAAGGCCGTTCAGAGATTGCAGGTAGATGAGGAGAATAATTGTGGTACAAGGCTTAGGCCCCGGTTGTCTGAGGAGGAAGCATTAGGCCAGATCATTACCCTTTCCAATAGTGTGTTTTCAGTACTGCTGCCAGATATATGCCATTAAAAACTCATCACACTAACGCAGTGCTGTTGAGGTGGTTCCACTCAGAGCTGGTTCCCCTCCATCGAGTTTCTGAGGTGGTAAATCACAGTGGGTGGAGTCAGCTGTCCTTCTCCCCGGAGGCGCTGGTGGACTTGAGTCACTGGACATGGGTACAACTTGGACTATGTGTCCAGGGGTCTCATTCCATGAAATGCAGGAAAGGAAAGCAAATGAGGATAGAAGGAGGGGTGGGGGCTGGAAAGATCGGGCACAAGAAGGGAAAGAGGCCTTTGTGTAGCAGTAGGCATTGGGTGAGCAGGCTGCCCGCAGGGCAGAGGGCCTTCGGGGAAAGCAGCCAGAAGCATCACATGGCCCAGCACTCTCATTTCCTAGGAGGACAGAGTGGCCTCCAGGTGCACCCTCTGCTGAGGTCAGTACCTGGCCAGAGGCAGACATGCCTGAGACTGTACTTCTAGAATCTGTTAGTTCAGTTTTCATCTCCCACCCACCACCTTCATTTCCCTATTCTGTTTATTTCATTTTTCACCTTTTTTTTTAAAAGTGTGTGTGTGTGTGCGCGCGCGCTAGCGCACCGTCAAATTGGATCTAATTGGTACAGGAGGAGATTGCCCCTCCTTCTCCAGCAGAGCATCTGGTGGATTCACCTTTTTTTTTTGAAGTTATGATTTAAGTTAGAGTTTAAAAGAAAATTGGTTTCCCATCCAACCATTCGTAAATGTTTTTTAGAACATTAATTATACTATATACAACGTATCACACTTTTCCCACTTCCCTCTGTTAATCCTCATTTCTGTTAATCTTTCTGTCCTCCTCCTTCCTGAGTTCTGAGCTTTCTCCTTGAGCACACGCCTCCCTTTGACCTGTTACATTTGGTGATTCTGAGGACTGATTGTCTCACTGGGGTGAGCGGCCCTTTTGGAGCCCTGTGTTCTTGCCTGCAGGGTGAGCTGTACGGATGAGTCCATTCGAGGTTTGAAGGGTGACTAAGGGACATGGTCTCAAGCGCCTCACCAGCCTCTTTCTGACTTTTTTCATGTTTTTAAATTTTGTTCTACATTTGCCCCTATTCTCTCCCAAGATTTGGAACTGTGACCCTTTTCCTAGAGTGGCAGCTGGGCACTATCTAGTTATGCTGCTCTCAGAGTTGGAAAGCTGAGGTTTTCATGGCCCAGGAGTCTTTTGGACTGATTGTTTTAAACATCTTGGCTTTCCTTCCCTCTTTCAGTCCTTTTATTTTGATAAAAACTCAAGCCAAACTCTTTGCTATTGAGTCAGTTTTGACTTAATAACCATATGAGATACAGGAGAAGTACTTGGTAGTGTACTATACGGAACTCGGTGAGTTGAGTTTAAAACTGTAACTCAGTTAGCAGACTGCCATGGCTTTGTCCTAGAGAACAGCCAATGGGCTCAGACCGGAGGCCTTTCCTTAGCAACAGAGCTCCTAACTGGGAAGAACCTCTACTGTACTTTTTAAAAGTAAAAGTTGTTCCGTGGAAATTCTTATTGGAGAAGAGTTTTAAAAATCATGCATTACATATTAAGAGTACCAGGAAATATTTTTTAATAGGTTAAAAATTTAAAAGTAATGAAATGATTATAGGAAATTCGCGAAACTCCCGAATGACCAGGAAACAATGAAGCAAGGTGAGGCATGGAATTGACATGGGTGGACACCACTTGCGGGGATCGTGGGGTGAAAAGGCTGACAGGCCTCCGGCAACAGTAGAGGGTGCGTCTTGTTTCTGTTGTGTACTCTCAGGTCAGAGCTGACCCGTAGCTGAGCCACCAGCAGGTTTTCAGAGGCAGTAAATCACACGGGAGGAGATGGCCCATCTTTCTCTCACAGAGCTGCTGGTAGAGTCGAATAACAAACCTTCAGGTTGACAGCACAATTCCTTATCACTAAAGAATTTGTTCCCATGTCACCAGTCTTTGCAATCACTTGCTATTCATCAGAGTGCTGAACAATGACCAAAGATGACAGAAGAATTGATGGCTTGGAGTTGTGGTGCTGGGGAAGAGTATTGAACATACCATGGACTGCCAAAAGAACAGAGAGAGGAGAGGGTGAAACCAAGCTGTTCCTTGGAGGCAAGGATATTGAGGTTCCATCTCACATATTTTGGACACATTTCCAGGAAGGACAAGTCCTTGGAGAAGGACATCCTGCTTGGAATGGTAGAGGGACAGCACAAGAGAGGAAGATTCTGGATGAGATGATTGACACAGTATCTGGAGTGACAAGGGAAGGTGTGCCAGAGGCAGTGTCATTGACTCAAGATAGGGATAGGGCAGGGTTGAGAGCTAAGGTGCGTAGGGTTGCTGTGAGTCAGAGCCAACTGAATGGCTCATAACAAGAAGCCACCAGAGCTCCCTGTGGTGGGGAGGGAGGTAAATTCACACAGACGTTTGGGAGAGCAATTTTGCAGTAAGTCAGATTTTTCAGTGTGCAAATCTGCCTCTAGGCATCTGTACCGGGATAATAGGTGTTGCTGGGCATAACGCTGGCACTGCTAGGTCCTTAGCCGAACCAGACCTTTCCCAAACACTCTCCAGGTGCGGGCAGAGGTAATCCTTGCGGCAGCCCTGTGCTTGGATCACTTCCTATTGGCCCTATTTTACACCCGAGGCAACTGAAGCCGGGTGACTCCTCAAGTCTATGAGCAAATAGTGGAGCCAAGGTTGAAAGTTGGCTTCAGATTATGTCTCTACCTCTTTTTGAATATTTTCTTTTTTATTTTTGAGAATATGTACATTGAAAGCACACACCAATCCCAGATGTATTTTCTCTTGATACATCGCTGTACAATTGTGAAACATTTGAAAACCATCCAAAGGTCCATTTGTCTGGAATGGTCAAATAAATTATGGAAATACCTCCATATGATGGATATGAGGTGGCCACTAGAAAGAGCAATGGCAATTGTCAGGTTACGGCATAGAACAAATCTTCTGCTGAATGAGGACAGCCAGCCTGTTCTATCAGGAAACGGCAAGGTTAGGGCTGTTTACATGCACAGAGTTCTGGAAGGCAGCTGACCAAACTTCAAAGTGGAACAGGGCAGCTGCTGCTGAAGGGGCCTTTCTCTGAGGTGACCCTGTGTTTTGTCACTGAAAAGAGATTGGCTAATGGGGGGACCATGATGTAGTCTTTCAACAGTAGGTAGGGGGATATGTTTATAATTAATTTGGGGTATTTTAAAGTTGGATTTGCCATTTTGAGACATAAGAAGCCAATCCTGAGTTATCATCTGGGATGAGTGTGCAAGTCTTAGAGCCAGAGCCTCAAAACAGTAACAAGTGGAGCAGACGCTTTGATTTATGGGATTTTCGTGCTAAAACAGCAATTATGTTTTCCTTTGCAATTAAGAATATAATTTTAAAAAAAAGAATATAATTTCCTTGGAAACCACGTTTCATTTCCTTGGCATTCAGTAAGGGTGGTAACCATCATACTTCCTCCAGTCCCTTATATAGCATTTGAGCTCTATTTTTCCCCTGAAAGAAATCCAAATTCTAAGCAAAAAGCAGAAGAGATGTATAATATTTACATCAACTTTTAGAATTGATTCTCTTTTGAGTTTTTTTTCCTCAGGGAAGACACAAAATTATATCTTTTCCTCAAAAAGATTACTGTGCAACCACAGAATGTGAGGCTTAAGAGATAGGTGCAAGGTCCTGACGGTCAACGCCTGCATTAGGGGACTATGTGGCCACGTCTGAACTACTTCTCCGGCAGAATCCACCTTGTGTTGGGTTGAGACCAAGGCCAAATAAGGCAGATGAGAAGGAAGATAACTGTCTTCTGGAAGCGTCTGCTCTGAAACAGATAAATAGAACAGGTGCCCAGGTGTCATGACAAGGCCAAGAGAACAGAGAGGGCGAACAGCCATTGCTGGGCTGATTGCTTTAGTTCTAGAAAATGTCAGTGGCTGTCTAGCCTAAGGAGACTCAGCACGTCTCTGTGACCCGCTACTCTCTTTGAATGATCTGCAGAGTTTCAGATAGGAGGCTTTGGGGAAGGGCCCATAATTTTTCATCATGGTTCTTTAAAACATTCTCTCCAGAGTGCAACAATGAATGAATGGAAATCCAAAGTCTCTGTAAATGTTCACTAAAATTAATAAAAAAATAAAATTTTATATATATATAATTAATAACATGCTTTCCAGCACCAAAGACCTAGTTGCTCGGTGGTCTTGCATCTGGTAGAACTGTTAGTGTGACCATGGGAAGTGACTTGACGTCTCATCTTCCCTTGATACGTAAAACGAGGAAATGTTTTTGGCAAATATTGAAACAGTAAGTTGCTTTTCATCGGTTGGTACCTAAAAGAAATTTCTAAGATTCCCTGCCTCTCAGAAAATACAACTAAAATAACAGTATGAGTTTATATATAAGAAGCTACACATATTTAGGAGGTTGGCCTTCGTTAAGTTTTGACATGAATGTAGCGGTGAAGCCTTTATCGTCATAAGATTGCATATCTATCTCTCAGGCCTCTTCCCTGTCCCTCCCTCCGTCCTCTCTCTCCCCTGTCTGCCACTATCCCACTTTATGCCATTGTAGATCATCATCCATTTTCTCGACTTCTATGTAAGTGGGATTTTTAAGCATATGCTTTTTTTTAAGGGGGTTCTTGGATTTGTTCATGGTGCTATGTGAGCCCGCTGGTGAGCCTTTGTGCTCTTGGGGAGGTTCCATGACGTGGTTCTACCACGCTGACCTCGTGATGAATTGCTGGGTTGTTCACTGCTGCCAGTAAAGCTGCTGTCAAGGTTTGTGCACATGGGTGTGCATGACCCATTACAGCCTACCTTGCCATGTTTCATTCCATTTTTATTATGTTCTTCCACTTTTGCTGCAGAAAGTTATCGGGTGGTACAGGTTTCGTCGAAATACTCAGCAGCAGATGTCCTACCGAGAGCAGGTTATCCACAAGCAACTCACACGGATCCTGGGTGTGCCCGACCTCGTCTTCCTCCTCTTCAGCTTCATCTCCACCGCCAACAATTCCACTCATGCTTTAGAATACGTTCTCTTCAGACCCAATCGAAGGTATACAAAGCTCTTGCACCAGCCACTCGAAACCGGAGGGAGGTGGTATAAATAGTGGAGGTTCACATCAGCGTCTTTCAAGACCATCTCTAGTCATCCCTCTAGCGCGTTCTCCTTGTAGTTAGGGAGGTTCTTCTCCTTGTCAGTTGTCAAATTGTTCTTACCCAACAAGCAGTAGCCGCACACAGAGTTCGCATAGGGAAACAGCTAGCACTCATCCTTTGCTTCTCCAGGATCCAGTCGACTGCAGCCAGTTTGTAAACAAGATAGCAAAACGCACCCAGCTACAGGTTGATAAGGGTTTTACATTGTTGACTTATCATCGACTAACCCATTGGGCTCTCCTGAGTTCTGCCCTGTCCTCAGCGCTGTTAGATACTGCAGAGTGAAAACAGGAAAAAGAAAAAGTAAAAAGCCCAAGATGTGGGCTCAGCTTTGAAACTAGTTTGTCTAGTTTTTTATTATTTTGTTGTTGAAAATGTACACGACAAACCAAACAACCAAACCCACTGCTGTCTAGTTAATTCTGACTCATAGAGACCCTACAGGACAGAGTAGACCTTCCCTTGTGGACTTAAAAGTCCAAGGCTATTTAGGGAGCTTTGGTGGCCTTGTGGTAAGAAGCTGTGCTGCAACCCGCAATGCACATAGTTCAAATCCACCAGCTGCTCGGTGGGAGAAGCATGGGCTCTCTCCTCCTGTGCACTTCCCTGCCTCTGAAAGCCTGCTGGAGGGTCAGCCGTGGGCACTTAGCAGCAGCAGGCTCTGCAGGAGCACTGCCGCATCTTTTCCTCACGAAGCCTCTGCTGAGTTCTCACCCTGACCTTTCCGTAAGCAGCTGAGCACTAACCACAGCCCCACGAGACTTAACCCGAACCAGCCGCTTCCCCTCACCCAAGTTAGTGACACTCGGTACATCCTAGACGCTGCTCAACCAGGCTTACCCTCCTTTTCTGAGATGTAAAATTAGGGCAAGGAAGTTTGCCAATCGGGGCGTCATTGGATCACTTAACAGAGGAAGTGTTCCTTAAGACCCTCCAATACATCACACGTGTCAGAGACTAAGACTCTCGTGCCTGGGCCACGGGCAGAGTGGTGCCGCACTGCTGACATGACCACTCTCTGAATTTCCCCCCCCAGGTATAATCAGAGGATATCCCTTGCTATTCCCAATCTAGGCAACACTAGCCAGCAGGAGTACAAAGTGTCTTCAGTGCCAAATACGTCTCAGAGTTATGCCAAAGTTATTAAAGAGCACGGGTAAGTTGACTGGTAATGTGGGCATTCGCCTTTCTTCTGCTGATATTTCTTTGCTTAATGATATATTTCAAAGATATTTTTGAGACCTGTGAAGTCAGGTTTACTGTGCCTGAAATTGTAGAATTTAGTGAAGTAATTCTCTAGACCACTACCACCCTATGTAATAATGTGATTCTTACTGAAAAGGTACTTTAACATTATTTATCATTTGTGACACTTCAGTTTTTGCACTTTTAGGAAAGTTGGGACAGGACATGTGTTTCTGGAATTCTAAAAGCTAAATGTGGTCACTGAAAGCTATGTAGCCTTTTCTTTTTTGTTGTCTTGGTGATGTAGGTTGTCTGTCTCTTCTGTGATCCTGGCAATATGGGCGTTATTACTGCGTAAGGTCTTGTCAACTTGCAGTCACAACACTCAAGTAACTGATTAAAGTAGGAACGGCCGGAAAAAGACTCGGGTCACAGCAATTGGAATCACTTTGTGACATTGCTTTCCTTTTTCTGTCTTCTAGTACTGACTTTTTTGATAAGGATGGAGTCATGAAAGACATCAGAGCGATATATCAGGTTTATAATGCACTTCAAGAGAAAGTACAGGTAACAGATTTCTAATTTTCATCTTATTTGTATTGCACACATGCTCAGTTCTACTTTAGTTTTTAATGATTCTCTGACAAATGAATTATGATTTGAAAGACTATTCTTCCCTAAAATAATACCACTGTTAATGTTATTAGTTCCAGCCTCTAAAAGTCTGTCTCTACGTCTCTGAAGGGTATAGTTTTATTAATAAACAGTGAATGTATTCTAGGAAAGCATACTTAGAGTTAGTAGCTTAGAGTATAGTGCTCCCCCTAATTGTATTCCAAGTCATGGCTGTATTTGAGTGGACCACTCACGACTTAGGATAGCACCCTGCCCCCTGTATTTCCCTCGGCCCCGGCTACTTCCACCTCTTGGGTAACTGGCAGTGGGTCCTGTTCATTCCTAATTATTCACATAGCAAACATTTATGGAAACATCCCCCTGCGAGGCAGATCCTGAGCTCGATACTAGCCCTGCTTCCCATTTTTTATTGTCTCATCACCCCTCATGGGTTTCTTCAGAATAATTTGTTTTCAAACCCTAAGAGTTGGAGCCTTAGAGCTTATCTTTTGAGGACAACCAGGAAAGTCATTTGACTGAGGCTTTCTCAGACCTGGCAGAAGCTCTGCTTCGTTGAGGACAAGAATCCAAGGAAAGGAGGGGGAAGTAGAGTTGAGTTCAGGAGGGAGAAGCGTCTCTGATGTCGGCGGTCAAGTGCCGGTCACGGCCCACCTGGCAGTGTAGGAGCTTGATGCTGCTGGGGACCGGCCAGCTCTCCAGATTGCTGCTAATTCCACTGTGGCAGGAACGTGCAGGAGAAAGCAGCTTTTTGTCCTTCTCTGAGCCTTTGCAGACTGTCAGGCCTGTCCAAGCGCCTTTACAGTGACTGTGAGGCTGTTTGGGCTGGGCAGAATGGTCGGCTCTGATGGGACCTGCAACCTCCAGATTGCCCTGGAGGAAGCACTCCCATTTCTCAGATGCATCTCACATACTTGTGCTCAGACCTTGGCTTTGACACTTAGTTTCTGTTTCAACTTCCTATAATTATAAATATTTTCTGTAAAAAAATCTGTGCCATCTCTTTAAAAAAATTACTGAGATGAAATTGACATAATATTAGTCATCATAAAAAGAATGATTTAATAGTTATCACCCATTCATGATATTGTTCACTCAGACACCTGTCTAGTTCCAGAACACCTTCATCACTCCAGAAGGACCCCCTGGGCCCACGAAGCCCTTGTTCCCCATTTCCCCTTCCTCCTGGCCCTTGGAAACCCTCAATTTATTTTCTTGCTATGGATTTACCTGTTCTGGGTATTCTTTGTGTTTGGAATCATGCAGCATAGGACCTTTTTAGTCTGGCTTAACCCAATAAGCTTGGTGTTCTCAGAGTTTGTCCACATTGTAGCGTGCATTAGTGTTTTGTTTCTTTTCTGACTGATATTTCGTTTCTGCCTTTTTTCTGTTGTGTTGTTATGAATATGAGTGTCCTGTGTATCTATCTCAATAGACATTACACTCATTATCGTAACTGTCTTTAATTCTTTTCTATTTATTTGTATCTTTTTATTTGACTGCATAGTACACTCATTAAAGTACTTATCTTTCATTCTTTTGGGTGTGGAATCTGCTGGGTCCTGAATTTTTGAAGAGCCATTGTTTTTCACAGTGGCTGGCGCAGTTTACATTCCCTCCCACAAAGGCTGAAGGTTCCTCTTTCCACACATCCTCACTGACGCTTGTAACGCCACATTGTTTAGAGTGATTCAGATAGTGACCCTCGTGGGTGTGAGTGGTGCCTTGTTGAAGTGGGGTGGTTTTTTTAATTATTATTATTCTCTCGTTGAGGTGTTGACTTGCATTTCCTTAATGATTAATAATACAGTGTAACATTTTTTCAAGTTCTCACTCATTAGCCATTCATACTTTGGAGAAATGACTCTTTACATCCTTTACCCATTTTTAAATTGAATTGTTCGTAATTTTCTTGTTGCGTTGTAAGCTGGTTAGTTGACCGCTGGTTATAAATAAAAGTTGAGAACATCTCTTTCCTTTCTTATCTTTGGTTCCTCCTTTGTATATGAGACTGGTGTCAGAAATTCCCCTTTCATTTCAGTGAAAATGATTCATCAAAGAAAAAGATTAAATCATTTAAATTTTACCCACATTTTTTAAGAACTTCTCGGCTAAAAGTGTAGCCATCCTACATTGATTAAGAAAGCACATCGATGCATAGTAACCCTGTCTCCTGGCCCCTCCTCGTCTCTCTTGGCCTCAGTTTCGGCTTTCTCTCTGAGCGCCACATCGGACCTTTCCGAGGGCGCTCATGGCTGCGGTCTTAGCGGGATTGTTGTGCAGGATCCGAAGCTGATTTTCTTGCTCTCTTTTCTCCCTCAGGCGGTGTGTGCAGACGTAGAGAAGAGTGAGCGGGTGGTTGAATCTTGTCAGGCAGAAGTGAACAAATTAAAAAGACAAATCATTCAGCGGAAAACAGAGAAGGAGCAAGAGAGAAGTAAGTGTCTTATCCGTTCCCATACAGTGTCAGAGAAGTGCTCTGTTTCCACACGACAGATGACATGTAATTGACACAAATCTCCCACTCGTTGGACCCCAGTGGCGTTAGACGAGGAGGGCGTTCTCCTGGGCTTCAGGCACTAACGGTGAAGAGGGCAGGAAAACCAGAGCAAGTGAGGCTGAAGCCAGTTTGAGTAAGCCAGGAGGCGATCGCTGAAGGCTGTGTGTCTTGACAAATGGGTCCATCAGTGCGTGGCGATGCCGTGGAAGAGGAGACCGTGTCCTTTGCTCCTTGTTGTTAGATGCCATTAGTCAGCTCCTGCTCATAGAGACCTTTCAGTTAGCAGAGTGAGCCCTGTGTAGGCTGCGTCCCCCTCGCAGGCCCCTCGGTGAGCAGAGTCTCCTCCCCGCAGGCCCCTCGGTCAGCGGAGCGTCCTTCCCACAGGCCCCTCGGTCAGCGGAGCGTCCTTCCCACAGGCCCCTCAGTGAGCAGTCTCCTCCCCGCAGGCCCCTTGGTCAACAGAACATCCTCCCCACAGGCCCCTCGGTCAGCGGAGTGTCCTTCCCACAGGCCCCTCAGTGAGCAGTCTCCTCCCCGCAGGCCCCTCGGTGAGCAGAGTCTCCTCCCCGCAGGCCCCTTGGTCAACAGAACATCCTCCCCATAGGCCCCTCGGTCAGCGGAGCGTCCTCCCCATGGACCCTCCTGGGCTTCAGCCATTGTTGCAGGCACTGTGTCAGCCTGTCTGACTGACAGTCTTTTAAAAAAACTTTTTTACTATTATTCATTTTAATGAAAGTTTACAGAGACTGAAGATTTCCATTCATTCATTGTTGCACTTTTCTCCCTGCCCACCCCCCCTCCCTTCAATTTGCTCTTCTCTTTGAAAGTAAAAGAAAAATTCTTTCCTTGTTATACAATCCCTCTCCCCAAGTCCACTCCACTATGCAGCCTTCATTCTGGACTCCTGTCCTGACAATAATACCTAATCACTTATCCCTTTTAAACAGTTTTCTCCCTCATCTGTTTCAATGCAGTATACATTATTTATCCCATCTTTCTCAGTCTCCCCCCCAATCCCGATGTCAGTTCTGTTTTACAACAGTGTCACTATGCAGTACTTGTCCTTTTGTAACTGAGATATTTCACTCAGCATAATGTCTCACCCATTTTGAATAATATTGCATGAGTTCCTTATTTTTCAATGCAGCGTAGTATTCCATTGTGTGAATATACCATAGCTTCTCTATCCATTTGTTTGTTGATGGGCATTTAGGTTGTTTCCAGCTCCTAGCTATCGTGAGCAGAGCCGCGATAAACATGGGTGTGCATGTGTCTATTTACTTGGGTGGCAGTTGTGGTCTCTTTGGGATATATTCCCAGTAGTGGAATTGCTGGGTCAAATGGTATCTCTGTTTGCAGAGAAAGCGCCACACCATTTTCCACAGTGGTTGCACCATTTTACACTCCCACCAACAGTGAATAAGGGTTCCAGTTTCTCCACAACCTCGCCAGTATTTGTTGCTTGCTGTTCTGTTAAATTTTCCTATTATTACTGGGGTGAGATGATTTCTCATAGTTGTTTTGCTTTGCTTCTCTCTTAGAGCTAGGGATTTTGAGCATTTCTTCATGTGCTTGTTGGCCATCTGAATGTCTTCTTTGACGAAGTGTCTGTTCATACCCTGTGTCTATTTTTCAATTGGATTGTTTATCTTGTGGTGCACTGACAGTCTTTCTTGCCTCTGCTGTTTATTGTACTGTAACGGCTTGTATGTTGCTGTGATGCTGGAAGCTATGCAGCCGGTGTTTGAATTAACCACACGGTCATCCATGGTGGACAAGGTTCAGCAGAGCCTCGAGCCAGGAAGCAGAACTGGGCATCCACTCTGATAATAAACTCTTGGAAACACGTTCATGAGAGCCACATAAAGAAACATCCTAGAATTCTTTAACTTTATATTGGTTCATTGTCATAATCACCTAAAAGTCTTTAAATGTCTACTTTTATGTTTTGTAACTGAATGAATAGGTACTATTTAAGCCAGGAACTAGCCGTTTGAAAATGAGACTCCTAACTAAAAATTCCAGCATGATGACAAACATGTTTGCTGTAAAATGAAATCACATTTACTATTTCATAATAGAATTTATAAAACGTATTGAATGTACCACGGACTGCTAAGAAAACAAACAGGTTCATCTTGGAGAGCATTAAACCGGGCAGTTCCTTGGAGGCAAGGATTCTGAGGCTCCGTCTATCATACTTTAGACATGTTGTAAGGAGGGACCGGTCCTTGGAGAGGGACGTCATGCTTGGTAGGGTGGAGGGCAGGCACAGGAGGGGAAGGCCCTCTATGAGGTGGATTGATTCAGTGACTGGGGTAATCGTGATGGGTGTGTCAGAGACGGTGCGATTGGTACAGGACAGAGCGGAGTTTAGGGCTGTTGTACATAGGGTCGCTATGAGTCACAAGTTACTCAATGGCACATAACAACAACAACAACAACATGGCAAATAATAAGAAGCATAAAGTTGGTAAGGGTAAGGCTATACTGCTCTAGTTTGTGAAGAGTACCTCGGTTGGTGTTAGCAGCCAGAAAGTGTCTCTCCACCTCAAGGTGACCTTAGGTGTGCAGAGTGGAACTGCTGCACAGATTTCCAGTGGCTTCATCACCTGCTGCAGATCCCCATGCTGTCTCCCGTGATAGCTCTGGGTGGGTGTGAACAATCAGCTTCATGTTTCTGAGAAAAGCACTCAGCCATTTGTACCACCCAGGAAAGTATAATACAGACAAGCCCTTAAATGACTTTCAGACAACTGATGACTGGGGCATTTTTATTCTTAGAGTTTTCCAGAAATAATCAGAATTGTAAGCAGGCATTTGTGCTCTAAAATGTTTGAGCTTAAATAGGTGCAAATAATGACTCGCGCAGGTGACTAAGCTGTGGTGGTGGTGGTGGTGGTTGTTATTGTGTACTACTGAGTCGAAACCGACCCTCTGTCAGGTTTTCAGAGCAGTTAGTCATACAGGAGGAGATTGTTTATTCGTCTTCCATGGAGGAGCTGATGGATTTGAACCACGTGCCTTCCGGATTACAGCATAGCTTCTTACCACTAGGCTACCTGAACTCTGGTAGTAGAGTTGAGTAAATGACACACGAGGCTACTACGATTCAGAGGCCAGCATCATAACAGCCCTAGCAGCCAATTGAATGTTCCTGTACAGGCGTTGAAATGAACTTAGAAGGGCACGGGGATAATGCCCAGACTGTAACCGTAAATGGAGAACTCCAGACTATAAAGCTCTTACACAGTGTCGACTCCCTGGGCTTAAGACATGTGCACGTGCACACAGCTGGGCCGTGGACTGGAGTGGAAAAGGGAATCAGAACCTCAGGGACACAGCCAAGAAGCAAGGGACCTTTACCTCCCAATCTGGGCCACTTCCCCCGGCTCTTGCTCACTTTGCTAAATCACAGAGACAGAGAGTTAAATCGGAAAGGTCCTTCCAACCTTCTGTTTTCACGGAATTTGAATTTTGTTTGTTTCACAGGCCTCACATCAAAAAAACATTTTTTACAGTTCCCTTTCACAGTACGCTTTCTTTTTAAAAGATTGAAAGGCCCTTTTCAGGTGGCACATCTCCCAGGTCCTATGAATGTTTTGAAGCAGCGCCACATTCTATATTGTTGTTGTTGGTAGGTGCTGTCAAGTCGAGCACGAGTCATAGCGAGCCTATGAACAAAAGATCGGAACCCTGTTGTGTTGTGCGCCATCTTCACACTCCCTGACACACAAGAGCCCACTGCAGTAGTCACCGTGTCAGTCCACCTGGTTGAGGTCTTCCTCTCCTTTGCTAACCCTCCTGCCTTCCCAACGTCATGTCCATCTCCAAGAAATAGCACGCCCTAGCAACATGCCCAAAGTATGTGATGTGAAGCCTCATCATTCTTGCCACCAAAGAGCACCCCAGCTGCACCATCTCTAAGATGTATCTACATTCTATACAACCTTTTAAAAGCAAAGGAACTATGTTTCAGATTATAAAATTAATACTCCTTCAATATTTAGAAAAGGACAAAATAAGCAAAGTCCTTGATTCTTTCACATACGTGACTCCTGGAATTCTGGTGAGAACAGCAGAGGATGAAAGTTGTTATGCCACTTGGCCTTTCTTAACTCTGGGGTTTTTTATCTATATCCTGAAAAGAACAGTACTGCACTAACAATATTGTAACAATACTGCAGTGACACCTGCGAAAGCTGGAACCTGTGAAACACCTGGGACCTCAGGTGTTTTCCCTGAGTAGCAATAGAAGAGTTAGTTGTTCAGACTGCACTTAGGAGGATCGCCTCGTCACACTGCTCTTAGAAGTCTCACCCTAATTACAAGGACAGTGATACCTCAGAAAGTTAGGAGGTTTAAATGAATTCACATATATGAAAGTATTTTGTAAAGTCTAAAATCCTGTGCACTTCTAAAATAAATAATATACCTTCTTGTCAAGGACGTCACTACCCAACATGTTGTATTTATGACAATACTGAAAAAATCTTACCTGATTATGTAGCATTTTAACACGTTATGCCTGGCGGTAATGAACGCAGATGTGATGACTCAGGATTAACGCTGGTGGCAATGGTAAAGCTTGTGTGTCAGCCTGGCTGGACCATGACTCCCAGTGGTTTGGCATGTATGTCACGTTATGATTTGACAGTTATGTCCAATCTGATTTAGTAGACACATGACACTGTGGCCATCTGTGGTTTTGCATGACACTGATTTTCCTCATGATGACCTAGCCTTTGGACCTTGATAAGTAAGGGGTGGGTGTGGTAACAAGTCCAGAAAATCTGGATTGACTCTTTGATGTCTTGAGATGAAAGGCCAGGAAAATACAGCAAGTGTTACAGTATTCTCTGTCTTCACCCAGGAATGCAGCAGGCGGTGCTAAGCAGACAGATGCCGTCGGAAAATCTGGACCCGGGCTTCAGCCCTCGGATGTCCTCTTCTGGGTTTGCAGCCGAAGGTAGAAGTACACTGAGTGATGCCGAGGCCTCAGACCCTCCTCCCCCATACTCGGATTTTCACCCCAACAATCAAGAAAGTACTTTGACCCCTTCTCGCCTGGAGAGCAACGTCTTTATGCCTCGACCTCAGGCTGTGGGCTCTTCCAATTACGCGTCCACCAGCACCGGACTCAAGTACCCTGCAGGCGGGGCCGACCTCCTGCCTTCCCAAAGAGCAGCCGGAGACAGTGGGGACGAGTCCAACGACAGTGATTATGAGAATTTAACCGACCTCACAGAGCCCTCTCACAACGATTACTCACAGTCAAGGGATTCGAGAGCCACAACACATCCTGACGGGGACTCCAGGAACCCTCAGACCTCCCAGATCTAACTGCAGACTCTGCATCGCGCTGTTGCCTCACTGCTGACTCAGAGAGTTGTGGGGGGTTCTGCCTGACGACCCTGTGTTCTCCAGCCCCCTGACTCTCAAGCAGAGAGACTCGGCCCAGCCCACTGGGGTCTGGCGTCACTGATTCTCTGGCCCTCCCTCTCGACGCGACGTGCAGTTCTCAGAGAAGAATCACTAAGATAATCACACCGCACTAATTCTCGTATGATTCACGGATGTGCTGGTACATTTAGGCCAAGGGAAACTTACCAGCATAGTTTCTGTTCTTCACAGTAAATTGGAAATTAGGGACTAAGCACAATTAGTCTATAAATGTTCTAGGGGGAAAAAAAACTTACCTCTTGCACTATCATGCCTTGAAATTGACTTTTTTCAAAGGGAAATGAGTTTAGCAGCAGCCTTCAAAGAACCTTCTTTCTATGATGAGCCAAATTCATCTTTGCCAGAAATGAAATTTTGATAATTCCGAGAAGCCTGTTTGGAACAAACCGAACCCCCTTCTCTCATCTGCATGACTTTGTGAGATTGAGAGAGAGGGCTCTGTTCCCACGTTTTCTACTAGCCTGGTATGTATTGTCACTTAAAATGGTTGCCTTTCAAATACAAAAACAAAAATGTACAAATACTAATTACCAGTATAATCATCCAAATAAGTATGTCATCCAGTAAATTCATGCTCTTCTCCCAGTGGGGTCCCGTGGCTGCTGTGTTCACTGGCCACACCCACGGCCTCTCCTCTGGGGTCTGAGATGAAAGGTGGCCGGCCGAAGCACAGGTGCCACACCGTCCCCGGGGCGGTGGATTTAACTGAGTTGACAAGGAAGGAATAGCACTCATTTAGATCTTCTGACAAATCCTAGTGTTAGTTTTATTTGTGGAGGAAAGACATTTTCAAACTGTGTGGGAATCTTGGTGAATAAAGATTCATTTTAAATCTGAATAACCATACAATTTTTTTGAAGTTGCCATTTGGCAGATCATTGTGGAATGTGTAGAGACTGTTGGGATGCACTTATGTTTTTATTTAATGAGTTACTGCTTGTTTCCTGCCTTTGCCTGGAACGTGTGAAGCTGGGGCCACTGTGGGCTCCTCACTTGGGAATGACAGGCTCCTCTCTGGTGACGGGCCAGCTCCTGGAGCCGAGGCGCTGCACTGTGGCTCCCTGCCCGTGGCTGGTTAAATGCTGAGAAGTAGAGGCCTGTGAGAGGGCCTTAAATGTGGGTTCCCACAAAGTTTCATTTTAAAGGAGGGACATTTTCTCGCCAGGTCCCTGTCATAAATTATACAATATCTTTTGACCTGAGAAATGAAATGCCGGGACTGCCATTCGCTGGAAATCCTCTTTGGGTCTCTGAACCACTCTCCTGTTTGGTCAGCCTTACACCACTGCCGTGTGATCGGAACTGTTGCAGACTCTTGGTCTGCACGTGTGTTCGGTTCCTCCCAGCTCCCTCCAAGCAGCTTCAGCATCCGTGTGGGTTTGATTTTTTTTTTTTTTAAGTGCCATTGCCAGCTTCTCTGTTTGGATTTTGACAGTCAGGAAAATATTTTTATGCCATACGGAAATCTACAATGTATATCTGACAAAGCAGTTAAATGTGACAATAAAAGCTTATTTAATCATGACTTGGCCGTTTCAGTGTCTCCCTCGGCGCCCAGCCTTACCTCAGTGCTCATTCTGATGCTTGTTGATAGATTTTATACAGCTTTTCTTTTCTTTCTTTCTTTTTTTTTTTTGAGTGTGTACCATCAAATCGGATCTGACTGGTACAGGAGGAGATTGCCCCTCCTTCTCCAGCAGAGCATCTGGTGGATTTGAACCATGTGCCTCTGGTTTTGCAGTGCAGCTTCTTGCCACTAGGACCACCAGAGCTCCCTTATACTGCTTTTCAAAACTCTACTTCATCACCGGCTTTTGCCAGACTGATTTAGGGGAAACTAAAAAACACAACTCAGGAAGATGCTTCTGTTGGTGTCAAGGAGAATGTACTGATGATGCAGTTACCGAGAGAACTGAGCCTCAACTGAGAATAACATTTATGTGAGCAAGGTCTCTGGGCAGCCCTTCACGGAGGAGCTGGTCTCGTTTGCGAGGACTCGGCTCGATCCTCCAGCACGTGGGCTGCTGGAGCACTGATGTCTCAGGGTCACGGTCACCTCGGGAGGAGCCGCTGACCAGCTTGCATGTTGTGGGTTCTGTGACCCCCCCAGTCAGTGATGAGCCGCTCCAAGGAGCCAGTGGGACAGCCTTAGCAGGACTTTAACGTGGGCTGGAACCTTTTAGGGTTGTACTCCACTTCTCCTCCAGCTATTTGGGGAAATGAGGGCTGGAGTCTTCTAACTCAGAAGGCTGGAAAGGAGTAATTACATGTTGTAACTGGTTTTTCTGGAGAAAACCCAAAACGAATGGGAATACGTCAGGGGAGCCAGGCCGTAGCTTCCTTAAAGCATTCAGACAGCCCGCCCTCGAAAACCTCTCCTTGGCATTTTTACGCATGTGCTCACGCCCCCTGAATGTGGGTGGCGTTTCCCAAGGTTAGTTCCTCCGTCCTGGGTTCCCTTTGCCTTCACCCTTCGCTCTAGCTTTCCTTCCAGTTCCTGAGCATTCCCCAACCCTTGACAAGGCTCTGCAGCCGCCCTTCCCACAGACAGTAAGCTTGAGGGCGAGAGGGCCAGTAAAGACAGGGCTCATAAAGACAAAATGTTTATTTCTCAATGTCCTGACAAACGGAGGGGAGTTCTGGGACTTCACCGTCACCCCTTATACAGTGGTTTTCGTTAGGTCCTGAAAGATGGATCACGGGTTGGATGGAGAGGCCATCCAAGTCGAGGGTGCTCTGGGACTACTCTGCTCCCCTGAGTTTACAGAGAGATGGCACCGCCCAGCCGTGAGACCTCAGGGCAGCCACAGGGAAAGGGCCGGGTGTAGTTACACTTGGTCAGGCGGAGGAAGCCCACTGAAGCCTACTGATGGCAGAGAATGGAGAGAGGCCAGTGCTGGTGGGGTGGTTCCGCTCCGACACAGCCACAGCAGAGTCATCTACAGCCATTAGGAATCTTCATGGGACAAGTCAAAAACACTCCTTGACACAAAAAGGTGGTTCCTAGATACCAAAAGAAGAAAACCAGATCTCCAAATAGTTGACGGTCTGATCTCACTTCTGTGGAGGATTGTGACTGCTAGAATGAAGGCTGGTGGTTCTGGACTGAAGCACTGAGCGCTGACTGCCAGTGGGCGCCTTCATTGGAGCCGTCAGCAGCGCCTCAGGACACAGGCAGTTGGTGTCTGTAAAGATTCAGTCTTGGGAACTCCAGAGGGCAGTTCAGCTCTGTCCGGGGTCACAGTTGGGAGGGGCTTCATGACAGCAGGTTGGGATATTCACAGCAAACTATCAACCTGGGGCTTCACCAAGTGTCAGCCGTGTTGTCCTTCTGCTTTGGCCGTAAACGTGATTTTTCACCTTTCACTGAGTTGCGTTCTGTAGTTTTCCTCCATATCAGAGATCATGTGGATGGCACGAGGTAGGCCAGGGTTCACGTATGTTCTTCATAGGGTCGCTGTGAGTCACGGTCAACTTGACAGCACCTAACAACAATTTCTCTACAATACTGTTGTGTCTGTCAGTTCCCATCACGTCAGCTCCAACTTACAACTCCATGCATCTCGGAAGAACTGTGTTCCTCGAGGTTTTCAGAAGTAGATCACCTAGTCTTTCTTAGAACCCTCAGTGGACTCCTTCCAACCTTTCCTCTAGCAGCCAAAGATGCTAATTATTGTACCGTTCAGGGGCTCCTTTTCTGTAGTTCCCCCAAACCCCCCAAGCTGTCAAATCGCTTCTCACTCAGTGACCCTCTCACCAGGTTTTCAAGGCTGTGCCTCTTTCCTCCTCTCATTTATGGGTTTATTAGGGAAGTCACGAGGTACAATTCAAGTAGGAAGTGGGAGACAATTCTTCAGTCAGGACAGCCGCTTGAGTGCTCACAGGCCCTCTGACTTTCACCTTGTGGCTCCTCTGTTTCCCAGGTCCTGTAATCCAGCCAGTTGTGTTGTCTTCCCCCACCCTCACCCCCTGCTTCTTTCCCCTAAGGCGGCCTTGACCTTCCCTGTCTGTCACAACGCCCCTCTTGTTTAAAGCCCCATTCAGATGTCACCTGCTCCTTAGTCGTGACTCCTGCTGGAGCTCCTGCTCAAATCTCTGCCCTGTACCTGTCTAGATACAGCGCTCATACACTCCAGAGTAAATAAGTCACCTCGATCAGTCCCCAGGCCCTCTGTGGTGGTGGGGGGACGGGGAACGGGATGGGAGACTGCGCAGACTCCAGCTCCAGCAGAGGGCCTGCCATCGAGCAAGTGTCAAAAAACTCAATGTGGTTTTTTTTTTACTTTTGGAGGAAAATACACACTGTAGGAAGAAGCCTCAAATAAATAAAATTGCCTCATAGATAACTAGTTTCTGAAGAAACAGGTTTTGAACAAAAACATCTGATTTCCTGATGACTGAGAATCTTGGTAAACAATTTGCTCCTACATCCTTTTTTTTCTCCTTATTGTTTTGTGTGTGCCGTCAAATAGGATCTGACTGGTACAGGAGGAGATTGCCCCTCCTTCTCCAGCGGAGCATCTGGTGGATTAGAACCACATCCCTCTAGGATTACAGTGCAGCTTCTTGCCACTAGGCCACCAGAGTACCCTTGCTCCTACATTCTTACTGAGTATAAACCTTTATCACCTCTTACTTTCATAATGGCTTCGTTTTCAAGAAAGTTATCAGTACAGGTTCACAAACATTTATTACTACAATATTGTAGCTAAAACACTGGATAATGTGACAAAACCAGCAATCAAAAAGAAAACCACACAACAAAAACATTGCAGGCAGGCAAAAATCCCGTGAGTCAAGGTGTCGTAACTGGATAATCCTGATGGCTCCGATCAGAGCACATCAGAAGGCTCAAAAAATAAATGAGCATGATTTAGCTT